CATGGGCAGGGACACCTTCCACAAGCCCCCCTCCAACCTGGCCTTGGACACTCCCAGGGATGGGGCAGCCACAGCTTCTCTGGGCAGCCTGTTCCAGGGCCTCACAGCCCTCACAGGGAGGGATTTCCCCTCAGTATCCCACCCGATCCCGGGGAGCGCGATCCCATTCCCGGGGCCCGTCCCGGCTCCCTTTGTCACCGACCCGCCCTCGGGCCGGTGCCGAGCGCCCCCTGGCGGCCCCGGCCCCTCACGGGACAGACCCTCGGACGCCGAGGGGCTTTTCCATCCGAAATGATTCCAGGATAAAGGAAATCCTACGTGTGGGTTACGCCAGTGCACAAAGCCTGAGCTCACACGGCCTTAAGATAGGCTCTAAGAGGCACCAGGACCCGCTGCAGAGCCTAAATCGGCAAGGCTCGGCTCAGAACCCGCAGAACCTGAGCACGCCACGGGCTGAGCAGATCTGTGAGGGGAAATTTAGCAGCTGGTAGTTTTTGTGTACAAGGGAATACAAATCTATCACAACCCAGACAGTAAACCCTTCAGAAATCTTAAAATCTCCGCTTAACAAAGCACGACAAACCCAGGCTGGGTTGAAGAACAATGTTCTCCCCCAAGCAAGTCACAGTTATCGCTGGTCCCATCACAGCTGGATAGGTCCAGCCTGGAAAAAAGCCACCTCTGGGTTCTGTTTCAGAAGACAAAAAGACACCTTCAGCAATCAGAGCCAGGCTCCTTTCCAGGACAAATGGGAACCAAACAGATAAGGTGATGACGCTGGCAGTGACAAAATTGAAGTGTTCGCACTGGGACTGCAGCTCAGCACCAGCCCCAGGGCCCTGGAAGCAGCTTTGTCCCACCAACAGCTCAGCTAACACTCATGTACAGCTCACAAAGGCAGCAAAGTAGTGAGAACATTCAGCATTTTGTTTTTAAAAGGCCAGGTTTGCCACTCAGTCAGGATGCATTGCTGCTGTGTGAAGAAACAGTACTGACAAAAAAAAAATCCCTTCATTTATACTAAATCTGTTTGCCTCTGGTTCCAAGCAGGCTCCTCTCCTACGCCCAAGCCCAATGAAATCAGCTGCTAAAATCTCTGGACAGAAGTTACAGGCAACGTTCCAAAGAGCAAGGTGAATTTAAGGTCCAACAAGTTGAAAATGAAAACTAGAAACTCTGGAAACCTGTGCTCCCCCTGCTCCACGTCCTACTTACTGAGCCACAGGAGCTCCACGCTCATTGTTTCACAGGGAGTTGCCCTGAATTACCCCAAGGATTGACTACCTCCTACAAGGTCTTATCTCTTCACACAAGAAACAAGATAGCTCAATTCAATCACGAAACACTTCAGCAAACACAAAGGGTTTCTCACTCAGCATCAGCCTTTGCTACTGTCTTGCTCCAGCCTGGAGGCCAAAGCACCTCCATCCCAGCACATCCACAAAACCACAAAAACAGCAGAATTAACCTCTGCCTTCCCCCAGGCAAGAGATATGGGTACAAACTACACAGTCATTCACCACGACAGCTCCAAAAGTCACTCCAAATGGGGTGTCACAGAATTACGAGGTCTCTGGCAGGTCAGCAAATAATCTCTGTAAAACATTTGGCTCGTAGCTCAGGAGGGAAAGGTAGCAGAAATTCAGACACCTCCTCAAGTTGTTCACGGGGTGGGGGGGGGGGAAATTATTGGGTATAAAATGCCACACCAAGTAGATGGATGGCTGAGCTGAACCACTTGCAAATGCAGCAGGAAGAAAACCAGCACTGACATCCCATAGAGTGCCCCAAGCACCCTGACAGCACTCAGCACATTAATTACACAAAGAACTAGAGCAAATTTAAGAACAAAAGGTTGTCAGGATAACGTCCCAAAGTATTTTGCTGGCTTGTCAAGTGCACTCGACTTATTTACAATAATGCTTTCATCCAGGTTAGCACCTTGTGCTTCTGCACCTTGTTTAAAAGTCAAACAGTCTCTCCATCAGTTCCTCCCTTTAAATTTGCCTAAGGAACAGTAGGAATTTGCCTTTCTGCCTGCTTGCAAATTAGCACACATCAACTGTAATTAAAGGGCTGATCTCAGGCACTTTGGCCACTTTGGCTCTTGTGCTGTATCACATGGACACATAACATCCAGGATCTCAGAGGGAAGTCACAGCTTCTGTGTCTTCCTCAATGAAAAAGCTGTTCTTTTATTCTGGAATAATTTTATTCCAGTGCCTAAAGGGGCTCCAAGAGAGCTGGGGAAGGACTTTGGACAAGGGCCTGGAGGGACAGGACAAGGGGGAATGGCTTCCCACTGACGAAGGGGATATTGGGAAGAAATTCCTCCCTTTGAGAGTAGCGAGGGGTTAGAGTGGATTTCCCAGAGAAGCTGTGGCTGCCCAATCCCTGGAAGTGTCCAAGGCCAGGTTGGATGGGGCTTGGAGCAACCTGGGACAGTGGAAGGTGTCCCTGCCCATGGCAGGGGGTGGGACAAGATGGGCTTTAAGGCCCCTTCTAACCCAAACCATTCCAGGATTCTGTGGTTCCCATAATGGTTTTGAACCTCTGAGCATCTGAAAGGTATAGCTCTGATTTTTGGGGACAAAAATGGGAATTGGGTATCCAGCCAGGCATCCTGCTGGGAAAAAGCAGCAGAGCTGGTGGCATAAGAACTAAGCACTCCCATTTTCAGCCCTTTCCCCTACTCAGACTATATTTGGAGTCCGTGCCTCCAGAAGCAGCAGATTCATATCACACTGGTTTCCTTCTGAGGCACGTAGCCCAGGAGTCAGCTCAGATGCTAAAACAAATTACTTCTTTGTTTGCACAAAGGTGAAGGGCTTGAAGAGTATTTCCTATTTTTAGTAGGAAAAGAATTGGGAAAAAAAAAGTAGCACAGCAGGAGATAAAGGGGATGAAAGTCAAAGGGGATGAAAGTCAGCCTGGTGTAAGGCAGTAACTGCAGAAGACTCTTAAAGCATCCATAAACTTAGTATTTCAAGTGCTTTTTTAAAAAAGCAGCTTTGGGTTGGAGCCTGTGTGTGCAAAGGCTACTTCACTGATTTCCCAAAATGCTTCGCAGTTGTCCTACAGGGATTTAAACCTTTTAGGGACACTACTTAAAGGTTCCTACCCCAACACCTGCAGAGGAAGTGTGTAAGCACAGGCAGAAACTGTCAACAGAGCACCAAAGTACAGCAGGTCAAAGGACCCAAGAGCAAACACCTCCCATGAAAAGGCATCCCAGGCTCCCTCTGAGGCTGTTCATTAATGGCTTCTCATTACTGGGCAGGTGAACTGCAGGTTTGCTCCCACATTAGGTGGATCCAACACGGCAGCAGAGCTTTCAAGGAACCACAGGCACAAGGTGAGTCTCATCTTGCCAAGCACAAAAGCTCCCGCTTCTTCAATATTTTGCTTTTTAAGATCTCTCAGACTTACAGGCAGATGAAACACTAGATAGAACACAATCCCCTGACAAAGAGAAAGGTCCAGACTTAGCTCAGATCATGGCAAGGTGAGTGAGTGGTCTTGGGAGGGGGCCTGGGCAGCAGATGGAACAGCAGAAACAGGCTCCGAAAATAGAGTGTGATCCTTCACCCGCACCACAGGAAGGATTTGAAGAGGGGAAAGGTATCCCAGTGACATTTCCCTTCAAGAGAACCCTTGTGTAGGTGGGACCTCGAGGAAGCTGGGCCTGGCAGTGTGTGTATATTTAGATTTCATTTATTCCTCTCCCAAACCTCCGTCCTCCCACCTGCCCCAGCTCTGCTGACTCCTCAGGGGCAGCACTGCAGAGACCTGACATAGGATCACAGAATCATGGAATGGTTTGGGTTGGAAGGGACCTTAAAGCTCATCCTGTTCCACCCCCTGCCATGGGCAGGGCCACCTTCCACTAGCCC